AGAAACGCTAATTTTTCTGTATTAACAATCACAGTACACGGTAGCCACGCAATTAACTGTCAATTACATGCCCCATAATTTGGTCGGACGGAGCCATCTTTCACAACGGTCAATGAACAGAGCAAAAATTATAAAATGAAAAAGATTCATATTGGACAGAAAGAACTTCTCGTAGTGATCTGGAAAGTAATCTACAGAATGGGCCAAAATTATGATAATCGTGGGTACGACCGCTTAAACGTGCCAGTCATTAAATTTAACCGACAAAATGTTCTGGCAGGCTACATCTAGCGAGAATTCTACGCAACTAAAGTTTCCACTGGCAATGATTAAATGTTACAACAGTTCGAAATCACCTCAGATGAGAATGGCGGAGATTCAAGGAGTACAACTATCGCCAGGACCAATACAAATGCGAAAAAACGCCCTCCTCCTTGATATTTTTTGCCTCCAAAATAAGGAAATTGATTTAAAAGCCTACTCGGACACCGAAGATCCCACGTCTGTCATGTACAAAAAGCCATAGAGAACCTTATTTTGAACTTTCCAAAAGTCCAGAGCATCAGGCCATAGAAGGCCAAAATTCTGCGAAGTTTTTCGAATTCATGGTTTTCAAGGAATCGTTACATAAGATTCCCCAGCCTAATTCAGCTGGTTCTCCTGCAGGGTAAACCTGGATACTAATGCAAGCGTGAAGCCCCAAACAAATGTGATTCCTGACGAAGGCGCAGCAGAGCCCTCGTAAAGTGACCCCAATTCTTTCGAAGTGCCATGAATTGAATTTGGAAAGGGGAGTGAGTTTGCTACCAACACCAGCTTCTAGGATGTTCTAATTCAGCAGCTGGACGTCCTAGATATCTATCATGGCTGTTGAACTTTAAAGGACGAATTCACGATGAAAAGCAACCCATTTCAAATTAACCTAGGGATGGTGAGTGGTACACGAAAGAAGGAAGAACCATGAGAAACGGCCCAGAACCCGAGAAATGGGACCCCTTCCTTGCCCGTTGATTTGAGCATTGATGCGACTCTCATCTCTGCTATCTAATCACTCGCCACGTATAGACTCTGCGACGAGTGATTAGATAGATCGGTGGGCGGACCTCGCCGACCGCGCCAACAATGAGCCATGCT